TTTTTACTTCCTCTGATGAGAAAATATGAAAATACTATGTTGAAACTCCGAAGCTGTAACTGCAAGCCTGAAGTATCTTGTAAATGTAGTTGTCTTGATCAGTAGCAACTTTATTACTTCTAATCATAGAATCATTTTGGTAGGGAAAGTTGAAATCAAGTCCAACTGTTAATAAAAGCGGATATGAACAATCAAGCCCTTGAAAATGAGATGCTAGCCAGACTGTCATAAATGATGCTTGTTGGTTCAGCGGGGCTGAATATACACTCTTTTTTCCAGTAGTGAAGTGTTACTTTTTCACAGTGCAAGGTACAGCTCATCTGCCAGTTTTTCGATTCAGGTGGAATTCAGGAATTCCTTCCTGCATCGTTCTGTGGCTTCTTAAAATTCTCCAGTTCCACAATATCTGAACTAGCATTCTCTTCATCGACAGAAAAGAGATCAGAGCAGCTGCCACATAACAAAATCTGTGTATCTCCCTATATGTTCCCATAGGTCATTCAGTGGGTTCCAGACCTACATGTATTCACTCAAATGGCAGAACCCCCTCTATTCTTCAATTTCCAGCTTGGTCCATGCATTGTCCTGGAATGGTGTGTATAGGATACAGTAATATAGTGGTGGACAGGCAGTATCAGAATACACTCAGCTTTGTCTGCAAGTGTTGTTAATTTTGAAACAAAGTCTAGATGAGCAGATGAGCAAGTGGAACTACTTGCAATAGAAGGATGCATAACACGTGACAGAGATGCATAATTGATAACTTAGGAAGTGGTGGACTGTTAACTTCAAGTTAAACACAGAGGGTCTAAGATCTTAAAGCTATAGAAATGTGTCACTGAGAACCTCAGAAAATAACTTGATGCAGTAGAAGAAGAGGAAGTTAGTGAAAGCAATGTAAAATAGCAGGTAGTAAAATCAAAGACTCTAACACCATTTTTGGTGGCTGTAGGCTCAGCATTAAGCAGCATGTATCAAAAATGAGAAATATTGCAGTTTGAGAGATGAAACTAAAACCAAGATGAATATTTTGACAGTGGGAACAAATTGGGAAAAAAAAGTATGAATGCTTTATATGCGTGCCTGTGTTGAGATGCTAACTAAAACCTAAGTTAAAGTAATGTAAAGAATTTGAGTTGTAGGGCTGAAAGAATTAATTTTAAAAGTACCCATGAAAACTGTACTTCAGCTTCCAAATGAAAATCAGCGCACGGAATTTGCAAAGGTTGGGATTATTCAGCTCAAGAAGAGCAAGTGAAAAATCTTAGCCAAATTTCAGGAAGTGCACATCTTAAAGTAATTTTTGCAAAGTTCTTCATCCTTAACAGATTCAAACTGCAAATGAACATTTTTCCCTTCCTACAACATTTTAAAAGACTGAAAATGCTGACTTATAAAAAGTTGTTGAATACAAGATAGTGAGATGAAAGGGCATACAATTTCAAATTTATATTCTGCCTGAGTAACTCTTAAAATTCTTAAAAAATCTCTCAGTTAATCAAAATGCATTTAATTGGTGAATGCTGTACTCGAAAAGAATTTTACCTGACAAGATAGGCCCAAAAACATTTTGCCCTATTAAACACTAAGGAGAAGTATTTAGTCAAGTTAGTATATTTCTGTCTGGAGTCGTCACTCACTTTTTAGAACAGCCTGAACAACTCTCTTCTAAATATTCTCCTTGTTGTATCCTGCCATGATGTTGTTTTCTCTTAACAAGTGTCATCCCTGTATTTTTCCTTTAGAAATTTCTTCCTTCCTTGAAGTTAGACTACATGCAGCAAAAATGTTACCTCTAGTTTGGAACAATCCTTGTCCCTTCTTGTTCTTTCTAAGAAGTAAGTTACTCACAATCTATGCTTATAATGACTTTCTAAATTACCGTGGTGGGTTGAACTTGGCTGGCTGCCAGACCCCCTGCCTGGCTGCTCTCTCACTCCCTCTGCTTGACAGCACGGACAGGGAAAATAAGATGAAAAGCTTGTGAATTGAGACAAAAAAAACAGGGGGACCACCTACCAGTTAACATAATGGGCAAAAAGGCTCAGGCAAAATAAATTCAAGCCGGTTAAAAACAGAGTTGGCTTGTAGAAAGCAGATAAAACAAAAATCCCCTTCCTCTATCTCTCCTTTCTTGATTTCGACTCTTTTCCCTTCTTAGCCAACTTTTCTGCTTCCTCTCAGCACTCCCAGTGGTGAGAATGGGAATGGTTGCTGCAGTCAGTTCATAACAGCATATTTCTACAAGTCCTTTATTTTTACACTTCTTCCTTGCCTTGCTGCGGGTCCATCTGACAGACTGCAGCTTCCTTCAAGACACACTTCACTACAGCAGTATGGGATCCTGCAAGGCCTGCTGTGTGGCTTTCTGCTCCACCGTCATTCTCCTCATGGGCTACAGGGAAATATCTGCAGTACTGTAATCTCTTCCAGTTGCTGCAGTAAAATCTCTGCCCTGTGTGTGAAGCACCTCCTCTTTCTCTGACCTTGATGTTCATATGGTTATTTCTCTGAGTTCCCTCACTCATCTCCCAGGTTCTCCTACACAGCTTGTTTGTTTGTTTCCTAAGTGTCCCTTCCTTTACGTGATTTCACTGCCACACCACCAGCTTAGCAGGTGGAGCCCATTGGGGCCATATGTGGAACCATGTGTGTCCAGAACAGGGTAGGCCCCAGTGCCTTCACGCAGAGACCTTTCTCAAATTTGCGCTCCCGGAGCACACTCAGCATCACTCATGGTTGAACCATGGCAGGGGCAAGGTCCCTTCTCTAGCAGCTGGGTCTGACTGTGATCTGATATGGAGCAGCTGTTGGGCTTTGCTCGCAGAGGCCAACCTTGCAGGCTCCCCACTACTGAAACCTTGACATGTAAGCCTAATACAAACCTTGACTTCGTTTGCAGATGGTCCTCTCTTTTAATTGCAGACGTTAAATTCAGTGTATGACCCGGGAGGATGGTGTTCAGTTTGTAATTCGACGTCAAGTAAAGCTCTTCCCCACCATGTCTTACTGGAAAAGTATATATATTTTTTCAAATGTATTTAGAGTTGCTGTGCAAAGAAAGAGAATACATAAACATGCCTTTGAAAAGGGCAAATAGGTAATGGTCTTAAATTACAGTAAAAGTTGTTCAGCTTAGAGGGAGAGGGAGAAACTTTCTGACGGGTTATACAGTGAAGTTGTGCATGGAAGTGCAGGCTTTTCACTTCTAAAAACTTTCTAGCCGGATAAGCCATGCTACTGCTCTTAACTCCTCCCAGATGGCCTCAAATGATCAATTAGATTACTCTAATGGGAGTAAAAACTTTGATAGCTAATTCCTGTATGTTTGCTTTTCAAACAGTTTCTGGGAAAGTCTTCCATTTCTTTAAATGCATAATACCCCAAAAGAGAGCCTGGTAGAAGAGTGTTTGGGAATAGGTTTATAAGCTTAAACTATTGATATGGCAGACTTGCTAATCTAAGACAGATAAACATATTTCCCATGTATTGTAATAATCATGTAAAAAGTGCATTCTGAAAAAAAAATGACCTTGGATGAGAAAATGTGATGTCCCTTGTGTGCTTTTGTTCTGTGGGTTCAGTAAAAACAGCATACGTAATTAGGTTTGAAAACTGCTTTAATTAAGTGATTAATAGAAGTTAGTTAATGCACCAATGTCAGTTTTGTCAGTAGCTGTTCTTTCTTTGGGAAGTAAAAATTTCTAGTTTGAACTTAGGTCCAGATTCTTGAACAAATATGAAGCTGAAAAAAAAAAAAAAAAAAAAAAAAGGAGCTTTCATGTACTCCTGTTAAACTCAGAGCTCCTTTTTGTTTGATTTTGATTATTGGTTTCTGCTGTATCTCTTATTATTCCTCCTGTAGACCTGAACTGGAAGGATTGTGTATTATATGTAAGTAGCTTTTAATTTTCAGATCCTTTGAAAATAATTCTGTCTGGCACTATGGACTCTTGTGTGAAACCAACAAATGAGATTGCTCTTTGGTTTTTGTTTGAGGAATGTTTCAGGACTGATGGACAGTGCCTTAACTGTCTGCAAGATAAGCATACTGTAATCTCTCTAGTTCATATGCTGCGAAGGATGTTGATTCTTGTAGCCTTGTTGTTGGGGTCAAGAATTTGTGAATCTTGTGGATCACATCACCTGCCTTAAGCTAAGAGCCTTTTTGCTTCCTGACATATTTTCATGTTTAGCAGAATTTTTTTTCATGTAGCAGAAAAAGTAAAGGTATTCAGCCATAACAATAAGACTTTATAAAGGGTAACTTCAAATAAAGGGAGAAGCTGTACTCTCTTGGGTGTTGGCTAGGGATTTATTTTGACAATGTCAGGTGCAAGGCAGATGAGATTATTTTGTCCCCCATTACATCTCATCTGTCTTCATTGTAAAGTTTAGGTGCACTGAATTAGTGGTATGGGAAAGGATTGAATGTTGCTTTTGATTATCTGATATTCTTGTCTTAGATGGCAAAAATAGCTGGAGGTTGAGGGTGTAGCAGCTTCCTTTTTTTTTCCTCTTCCATGTCATTTTGCTGTTGTCAGTTTTTATGGTTCTGTCTTAGTGGGTTTGCCTTCCATCTAAAATCAGTACTAACAGCAATAACTTGAATTCATCTCTTGCTCCGAAATTTTAAAATAACAGTAATAGTAGTGTACTTTGCTCTGTGTCCACTAGTTGCTAAAAAAACTGGTTTGGAAGTATGAAATGTTGGTCAGTATTTGTGTAGAATGCTTTTTGTGGTAACTTTTCTTTAATAAGTACATATTCAGCAGTTTGGCTTCTGTCTCCCGCTTTTCATTTCAGGTTCTTTTTCAGAAAACAGGCACTTTTCATTGTGGAAGTGTACATTAGTTTATTATTTGAGAGAGCTGCATAAAATGGCATTTAGAATCAAAGACAAGATTTGCTAATTACAATGTTTGATTGTCAGAATATTCTGTAAGATACTGTTGATCGCATTACTAATTCCAGCTTTTCTTGCACTCCTTTTTTCACAGCCCCATGACTTTGACGAATGCAGATTTGATATTAGTGTAAATGATAGTGTTTGGTATCTTCGAGCTCAGGACCCAGACCACAGACAACAGTGGGTAGATGCAATAGAACAACACAAGGTAAGTCTTATTTTCTTTCTCACGCGTTAGATCTGGTGGTCCTTGTGGAGAGTGATAACCTTCCATGATAGTGCTAAAACTGTATGTGACAGGCAACAGTTCCAACTTTGAAGTGAGTTAAATACACTCCAGTGGAATTTATTTACTTACCCTCCATAGGTAGTAGCTAACAACTGTGAACCTTCCTCTACCTAGAAAAAAGAAAAAACTTGCATCATATTTAAGTGGCTTTTTAATGGTTTTGTCCATTCTCTCTCATTACCAAATTGTTTGTTATCTGTCCTAGATGTTAAACTTCTTTGTCTTGGAGTCCATTCTTTTAGGTTATGATTCTGGTTTTATATGGTTCATATGTTTGTTGTTTTAGCTGCTTTTATTCAATCCAATTGCTGTTTCTTGTGTCCTTGTCTTCTAAGACCCTACTCATCATCAGTCATTTTAGTGTTCTTGTTCTATGCTTTGGAATTCCATTATTTTTTTTTTTTTACTTAAAGGGCTTGAAGGTCAGATATTTTTAAAGAACATAATGCACAAGGCATACACTCTGTACAAGATAAACACTGCCTCAGGTTTTTAAGTTTAACTACAATATCCAGTACAACACAACATCAATATCTGGGTTACACAAGTGCTACAGGAATATAAATTAAAATAGATACATAAGTAGGTACATAATTAATTTTACCTATATTTTACTTGTATTTTTACCTTGAGCTTCTCAAAGGAATGTATGTAATTGAGAACTTTCAACTTTTCTTGGGGAAGATTTAAAATAAGCAGTAAAAACTCTTAAATTTTAAGTGCTGTCCTTCAGCGAGTTGTCCTTTTATAGGTTGACATCTTGCTTTCACTTTGATACAGACAACATGAAAACAAACAAAATTAAGTTGCAAAACAAGGATTGCTTTCCTTAATCTTGTGAAAAAAATAATAGCTAATCTGTGGGTATGCTTATTACGAGAATGCTGCAGCGTGTTAATCTTGCAACACCTGAAGGAAATATCTCAAGAGGATGCTCCAAACAAGTTGTTGAATTACACATCCCTAGAGCTGACATTTCAGAAGCTGTTTTTATAAGCAGGGGAGTTTTTTCATACGTGTGGGTACACATTCATGAATGACTTAACAGATTATTTGGTTTGTTTTTCTTTTTTTTCATTGAGTTTTTTGTTGGTGGTGGTGGTGTTTGTATTTTCAACTTTCCTGCATATTCCTTTTTAGTCTAGACTGCTTGCTGCTCAAGGCAAATAGCATTTGTTGTCATTCTTATGTGAAGTGGGAGATATTATGGCACCTAACTTCTAAATAAATGATCAAACTATTTGATATATTAAAGCAATACATTATTTAAAAGTATTCTCTTGTAGTAGTATGCAAATAAATAACTTGATGAATGTAAGACAAAGCAAGGTAAAAGGTGATGCAGTCTTGTAACACTGGCTTAGACTCAGTAGTATGTCATCAAACCTCAGGAAGTCATGTTATTCTCATTTTCTTCTTGTGCAATATTATTTGTCTTTATGATACACATACAGCTTCATAGGGTGAATGTTGTAGGTGTGTTGTGTACATGCACCAGTTTTTTTTCAAACTGTTCCTACTAAAATACGTAAAATCTGAACACCAGAAGCCTTGGAAATGTCTTGTATATACGTAATAGGTGTTTGGTCCAGTTAAAACACACATCTAAATCTAGCTTTTAGTCTGCTAATGCTTATTGGAGAGCATATGTCTGAATTCTTGTTTCAATAAAATGTTTTCATGATTAAATGGTTAGTGCTCTATTTTCCTATAATGTGCATATATCTTTGTAGAGAAAGTATATACTTTGTAGGAAAAATGTAACGTTCACAACCTGGAAGCTTGTCCCATTTCCTTTTCAGTTTGAATGAGAAAGACTTCAATGATTGCTAGTTTCAATGAATTTCATCCATCCTTCAATTTTTCTTCAGTTGTTTTAGCAGGTTTCTATGAGAACACCTGATGGAGAATAGGAGATGAACTTTTATGAGGCAAAGTATTTCATTTTGCTGAAAAGTTTTATCTACTTACTCCTAAATTTTCTGAAGCAATTGTCCTGATCAGATTAATAAAACTCAAGCAAAAGTCCCTTTGAAAGCTGTTGTGAGCAAATAAAATTTGCTTTTGTTTGACAAATGTGTTCTAGAATTGATACATAATAATTTGAACAAAACTGAGAGAGGAAATTATTTCCTGCACTAAGCAATCATTTTTATTAACTTGAGTACTGTGCTTTTCTGTTTTTGAAGCTCTTTGTTGTTTGCTGTGTGAGTAGGTAGTTCTTGTAGGCTGCTTAAGCTGTTTGCTAACAAAAGTACGTTTGTGAGACTTACTGTAGCATTTCACAAGGTTGTTTATCTTTAGAGTATGAAAGAGACTGAAACTTGACTGTTTCATTGTGTTCTGAACAGAGAAAACACTGATTTACAGTGAACTTTGAATTTGTGTGTGAGTAGACTTAGAAAAACTTACTGCTTTGCAGCACCAATGAGTAGCTGGTAGCTGAGAAATGTAAAACATCTAATGTTCAAGCATAAAAAGTGCTAGAATTTGCTGCTGTTTGCTTTTATCAGTGTATTAGCCTTTTCTTGTACTGAAGCTCTTGAATGCAGATGAAATGTTTTAATTATAGCTTGTAAAGTGCTTATTAATTTCCTGGAACAGAAGGAAAGGGAAGTCTAAGAGAGCAGTTGGGCAAATGAGGAAAAAGTGGTTCACGTGTAACCATGAGTCCTTTCTGCTAATGTTTCGATAAATGCACAGAGCGGGTAAATTATCTGATTGTTGGGGTGTGTTTCATGAGGGAGCTTCTCTGTTTTCCTGAGAGGTTGTCACGTCTGAGATGGCTAATGACCTTTTCTTAGACAGATCTGATGTCAATGCATTTTGCCAAAGAACTCAAAAGCAGACTTGGTTTCCTTATTTCTCTGGGGGAAAAATATTAATGGTGGAAGAGCACCAAGGAATTGGTGTTTTTGAAAAGCTACCCTCTTCTTAAATAATGTATTCAAGGACTAATTCCCTCTCTACGTGGTGGTTTTAAAATGAAGTGTGGAACTTCTAACACTGTTGGCTGTATGATGTGAGAAAGTGAGAAAACATCTGGGTTTATGCATGGAGGATGTGGACCTCAGTTGACTGGAACTTCAAGAAAGCAAAATGAAAGCGTTCAATGTGATATAAATAAACAAGTAAGATTTCCTTCTTTATATACTCCTTCACATACTAACCTAATATTTTTGTTCTTTACACTCTGTTTTGGTTGAATTAAAATTTATCCTTATTAATTTGCATTACTTTCCCAAAGCATAAATAACAGCAGGGTAAATGAGAATTACAATTCAGAGCATAATCTGGATAAATTAACTCATTTTTAGCAAATTTGCTGAATTTCAGGACTTTTAAGTTAATGATGTTTTGTGACGTTCATCTAACCAGAGTTGAACAGTTGCTGAGGATTTGTTTAGAAGCGGGAAGAGAAGCCAGCAGGTAGAATTCTGAGGAGAAAGCAAGGGTTTTTGAAAGTTCAGTGTTAATACAAAGCAAAACTCCTAGTGACTAAAACCAGAGTACCTCTGTGTAATATGCCCCTGAAGCATCTTTAGTATAACCAAATAACCCATAAGGTATTCTTAAAAAGGAGTCCTCAAGCCATTCAAATTGTTCCAAATCTAAAAATGTACGCTAAAATCAGATTTCTTAAGTCCATAGTACAAAAAAAGTCTCTGTGTGAAGTGTGAAGAATACTGGGTAAAATACTGAGGTATATTAAAGTATTTCTTTAAATTAATCTCAGCCTTCTATGTAAGTAGTTTAAGTCTTATATTTTTGCCTAAATGTAAGAGTTTATACAAGACTAACTTCTTTCAAGCTCAGAGAAAATCTTAAGTTTCTCTTCTAACTTGATGATATGCACCTGAAATATCTCAATTTTCTATTTTTTGTAATTGAAATGTTTCAACTTCCAACTGAGGCTTAAGTGCATCTGCCTATCCCTTCAAATAAATAACCATTTCAGTAATTTCACATGAACAGTGCTTAAGTAAGACTTTTGCTTGAACACTGTATAAATATTTATCTATCACATTATTTGTTTGTTAGCCACACTAAAGAAGATTTGAAAAATGCTAGTGAAGATGTCTTTTTCGTGCTATTTTGTTGTATTAGTTGACAGCACAGCAAGAACTTCTTATGTTTATCTAGTCAGAAACTAACATCATGGAGTTCTATTTTTTGAAAATAGAGCTCAATGTATCAACAGGAAATAAACTGTAGAAAAGTTACTGTAACACACTGAATTTGTTCACAGGCTTTCAACAGTTGAGAGCTATGAAATTCTAAGGCAATCTTTCTCTTCCTTTTACACATTTCTAGTTCTATCCCAAGACTGAACTAATCTATGTGTAATGCCAGTAAAGACATGCAAATAAATCCAAATCCAAATGTGCTGCATATCTCAGTAATATAATTCAAAATTAATAGAAACGTACATACAGTGTAGGAATGCTGTAAAAGCGTTTTTATTCAGCATATTAACATAACAAACTTCTTAAAATCTGAAGTTAAACAAAATCAGACTTTTGCTACTAGTACATTAAATTTCATTTTGCCATTTGGCAGGTCTTTGTGCAGCTGCTAAAGTAAGTTGGCTGTGTATTTATGTGGGCTATATTTACATTTGTACAGAAACACTGTGCAAGTGATCTTCAGGTTTTTTGGCCTTTAAGCATATTTTGGTAAGCTTACTGAATTGCAGTAAAACCACTTCTAGCAAACAGTATTTCTTCTAATGTTGATCAGTGAATGCTAGTTAGAAATACATCCTAGATAATTATTTTTTAAATAAAATTGCCAAGAGTATTTTCAGAAATGACATATGATGGGAAGGAATGGAAATAGTCTGCCATTTCTCCATCTACTTCCTCTTCTGGAGTTCAGATGCTTCATTGATGTATGGTTTAAAAATAATTTGCTTTGTC